GTCATTACATCACAAGAAAAAGCAAGAAAGGCTGAATTTTCAGTACTTTGCAAGGAGTAAGTTGGGAACTAAATGATAATTAAACCATCACTAAGTTTATTATACCATTTCTAATGCCTTACATATTAGTTACTCATTACAGCTACTAGTTCTGAACTTATTCTGCTGCGTGGTTTATTGCTAAAGCATTATTATTATGCAACTTTCACTTTTAACTTATTAAGACCTTTTGAATTGTTTTGGCAAACATATTGGTATTTTTCTGAGTGTCATAATCGCTATGGTCAGAAACTACTGATGTACAACAGCTTTGAAAATAACCACTATTTAGCTCTGTTTTTCAAATTATCAGCTAGTTTCTGTTGTTGATGAATCAACATTCTGTGTACTATTTTATTAAGTGTAAGTGCAGATCATGTTTGCTCACTGTGTTTTCTACCATTTGAAAACAGCATCACACAACCACCAAGGCCTTTTCCAGCCTAGACTTAAAGCTGTTTCATTCAATAAATTAAATTTAATCTTGGAAGCAATAGTCTGATTCCAAATAGGTACTGTACAAAGTCTCTCATGTGGAGTTTCTGACTTCTCAGCTGATCCCTTTTAAGTATTCAAATTAAAGTGGTGTGAATGCATCACTAAAAACAGGTAATGGATATGACAAAATAAATTAAAAAAAAGAAAGAAAAAACTATCAATACATCATGTAAGCTAATAGCCTGCTGTGGTCATTCATTTTATTTTTGATTCTTGGCTGATCCCCTTAAGCACCAGTCACTTACTTGGCTCTCTATACTTTTCCAGTGCTACAAGGGGACATAAGGATACAGAAGTAAGGGACAAGCGAGGCTTGGTCTGCATGCATGTGTGTTTTGGGGACAGGGAAAGGGTGTGATGGGGAAAGGTCTGGTGTCATAAAGACCAAATGGAACGCATCACATGACTGTATCAATTACTCTAAAATAGGGAGACAAATCATACAGTCATGCCAAGTGAGATCATGTTTTATTCCAAAATTGACTTTAAAAAGATCAGACACCAAAATAGACATCCTAAACTGTAAGAAGACATCACACACATAAATCCTACACAGAGTGGACAGTGATTTAGACAGAAGCTATGTGAATGGAATCACGGCCAGGATGTACCCACCGTGATTCCACTCACAACATGATGTGCGTGTCCCTGACAGTTTAGGTTATACTGAGACATACTGTATGTTCCCTCTCTGCAGTTGTCTGCAGACAATCCTGCATTCATCCTGCTGATAGAAATAGAGGGTGCTTAATTTTTTTACTTTGTCTTTTCTAGTACTGGGTTGACATCTTCTAAGCATGGGATTTGTCACTTAATACAGTTGACGAAGGCAGACTTACAAATTAGCTTTTCAGTTTGTTTGGTCCTTAAAGTCAGGTCAGCTGACAAGAAGAAACACTGTGGCATTAAATGTCAGCATTCTGAATGTCAGTCTGTCACCAGCCATCATTGTGTTTTACATACACATTTAAGTGTGGCCAGAAGGCAAAATGCTGACCACTTTATTTTGCAGGGCTTTGTGTTTTCTTATGTCACATAGTGGGTTGATCTGGTAGTGTTAAGTGGCACATGCTAGAGACAGCTGCCTAGTATTTGAGATATTAACAGCTGCAAACTTTAAGCGGGCAGTGAGTCATGAGATTTGATGACAGTCCAGTGGGGGATACTTGGGTCTTTCTTCTGCTCCATGCCTTTACAGTATACACACAAGAACCTGGCGATGGAGCCATATGTATGAGGTCATGGATTAAGAAGTCCCTTCATGAGCCCTTTTTCTGTTTGCTTTATGACCAGTGCTTAACACATGATTAAAACAAGCTGCATACGTGACTTCTATTAATGAGTACCGTAAGAGATTACAGTTGGAAAGTCACCGACCTCTTCCTAAGCTTGTGACATTTTGGAGGTTGACTTGTTTTCTTGGGAGGTTGATGGACTGTTTCTGTTAGTTTTGTCCCTTTGTGTTCAGGGGACATACTGGTTGAGATGTGTTAGCTTGGGGATGGCAATTTAGGGTGTTAGCTTTAGCTTCTGGTAAAAGTAATGTGAGTCCCAAAAACTCAATGGTTGTCATGTTTACATGTTGCTTCTTCCTAACTGGCCTGCTGACTTTAGATACAGGTAAGCTACATGCAGGATTCACCCAGTTTGTTGTTTGTCTGGTGACTGAGTGAGCATGACTTACTGTTCATATGGACAACAACTGAGATGAGACAACATGTGAATTAATGAAGTGGTGGTGGGTGGATTTTCTTTTTTTAAGTAGGTAAAAAAGTAAGTAACACACAACATGAGTTCTTCTCATATAACTCTGAGGAAGGCAGCAAAACAGCAAGTGTTTTTCCTAATATATAGGTTTCCCTGCTGCTGCCATTTCTTTTTGTATCTCAGACAATGTATACACATAGAACTTCCTTTTGTCATCCCACCAGTTCAATCATTTTATAGAGGTCAGTGTTAACAGGCAATGATTTGATATCTCAGGGCTCATGGGGAATTACATTTACACCATTTGCTTCCTCTTTAATGGCTTCATGCCTCAGGATGACATCTCTTCTGTTTATATACACAAAACACACACACACACATCCTTAAATTCCCTGTTGCCTGCTCCCTTAGTTTAGGTTTGGCATCAGCTATAGCGACGGCCAGTTTTCACTCCAGTACTTCAGAACCAAATTCATTTTCCATATTCTTGTATGCTTTGTTTTACATATCTCCAAGCTTTGGGTTTGTCCTAAATTGTCCAGACACTTCATACAAATGAATGACTGACCTGCAATTTCAAAGCTTTTTAATAAAGACGAAATTAGGAGATAAAGTAATAGATCCCCGAGGGCTACAGGCAGGACAACTGCTGCACTATTTGTGACCAGCAACCAAAATAACAGTGAGGGTACATTGGTTAGAAATAAATACCACCAGCCAATGAGAGTTTGGCATGAGGGTTTTCTGTTTCCACCACAGATACATAGAAGATGATTTTCACTGGGAAAGATCTTTTTTGGGTAACTTGATTGTAATGTTCCTTTCATACATGTGTAACATTGAAGTACATGCAATACAAACAGTGCATGCTCAGTTCAGCATTACACAATGTTAACTGGTGATTCTCTGTTGAAATGTCTGGTAACCCTCATCTTTGGATGACTCTTACATTATAACACGTAGTAGTTCTCATCTTAGAATGTGGCCAAATGAAAAGCAGAAACCACATGTTTCTCACAGATAGTATTATTTCCTCTTAGCCCCATTACACTGTCCTGCGCCTCAGAAATGAGGATGTCTAAAAAGGAAGTAAGTACTGGTTGAAGCAACACAAGGTTCAACCATTTGACATTTTGTAAGTTTGTGAATTTGATCTCAGACTGCTAAGTTTGATAAAATAAAAACGCTTAAAAAGTATTGCAGATCTACTAATGAAACTGATGACACTGAGCAAACAGGAACAAACAGTGGACTGAGGGGTAAGTTCACAAACTACACTAATAATAAGACTTCATATAATAGTTATGTATATTTAAAAATGACAAAGGCACTGTGTTATATGCTAACTGGGAATATATCAAAAGCTTTTATTTATTAAATGTAATATTTGCTATTTATTAGTTTGCATGTATTTGTCTTTTCTCCCAAGTTCCACAAAAACACAAGGATGCCTTCGATCCACTTTGTGATTATTTGCCTCTTTTTTAAGACCAGCAGCTGCCAGATCCAGTGTGCCAAAGGTCTGCAGTAAATATATCATCATACATATCACTAACTGAAAATAATTTTGGGAATATTTTGTAATAATCTTGCATTTGTATGGCAGAAACTCTTGATGACAACGAGTTTTCGCTGAACATGACTGAACACATTACAGTGGAATCTGGTGACTGTATTAGGTTCGCATATGAACTGAGCTTTCCAGCAAACAAAGTCACAGTCCCATATAAAAAGATATGGTTTGAAGGTGAATCACAGACGGCTGTAGATGTAACAGTTGCCCATGACATGGAGTCTAGGAGAGAAAATCTTTTTTTCATGGAAACTGACCTACCACGTGGGACGTATGAGTATGGCTTCAGACTGGAATGGGGATGCAATCAGACATATATCTTTCCAAAGAGGGTTTGGATCTCAGTTACTGGTGAGTAATAAAGCTCTTGGTTCCTTAATGTTGGTAGCTTTTACTGCAGGAATTTTAAAATATATTATATATAAAAAAAATAAAACTGAACCCTTTCAGGCTCAGTGCATTATACCGAATACTGATTGTGCCTTAAAGCACCACTGAATCCTCAGAATGGCAGGCTTTATAACTTAAGACAACATGGAAACTAGCTTTCACAGTCTATTGCAACTGGTATTTACCAAGTGATGCACAAATGATAATGTTGGTTGTGTTTCTTTTCAGCATCAAATCGAAAACCAGCTGTTTTTGTTCCTCGAATGACAGAGGGAAGAGCTACTCAACTTATATGTCATGGTCCTCATTATTGCGTTGGCAGAGCAAATATTTACTGGAAACAAACAAAGGCTGATGGAAAAACTATAGTGTTCAAAGATCATTTCTTTAGGGTCAGACCCTTCATTCCTACAGCAGATGACCACAACACCAACATCACATGTGTTGCAGAACATTATTACGACACTGTTGAGACAACTGTCACCTTAACTGTGGAATGTAAGAATGCTTCAGTGTTTGTTCAACTTGATACGAACTGTATTATACTTCTATGCCATGAAACTGAAAACCAAATCAAACAATCATTCTTTTTTCAGTCTCACCTAAAATCCTAAACAGTTCCACATGTATGACTGAGGGAAAGCTGCTGGTCTGCGTATGCATCAGTTGGGGGAATCCTCTTCCACCAATCACCTGGCCTTTGGCCTCTCTCACAGACTTCTCAGTCGTTAGCTCTAGAAACACCC